GCTTCGAAGTACCATCATGCTACAGGAGAGCTGTCTGGGGAGTTGATTGGGAACATGACTGATCGCCTTCTCGCGGCCCTCCGCAGATCGTTTCGCACAAAGTTGCCCCAAGTTCTCTCTTTAACCGACGACGACGAAACAACGACGACGACGACGACGACGACGACGACGACGACGACGACGACGACGACGACGACGACGACGACGACGACTACAGCGCGCCCCAATAGGCGACGACGACATTACGACGACGACGACGACGACGACGACGACGACGACGACGACGACGACGACGACGACGACGACGGCACGCCCCAACAGGCGTCCCAAGACGCCCCCCAAACCCATGCATGCTCCCAGAAGGCCTTCTGGGAACCCGATTCATACCACCTCCGCCCCCCTACACATCCATTTTCTAAGAAGGCCTGCTAGAACCTGAGCGCGCGCGAAGCGCGTGCGATGGTCCTAGCATATATATATATATATATATATATATATATATATAAAAATATATTATCCCGGCAAAGCAACCTAACAGCGATGTGTAGGAGCATATCTGGAAGCATTCCCCTTAAGATTCAGATAAGAATCCTGTTGTAGAATTCTGCTGTTCTCGCAGTCGTGGTCGCATTCGCGATGGCAGTCGCAGTGGCAACAGCAGTCGCAGTCACAGCCTCAGCCTCAGCCTGCCTCAGCCTCAGCCTCAGCCTGCCTCAGCCTCAGCCTGCCTCAGCCTCGCCCTCAGCCTGCTTCAGCCTCAACATCAGTCTGCCTTCAGCCTCGGCCTCAGCCTGCCTCAGCCTCACCCTCAGCCTGTCAGCCTCAGCCTGCCTCAGCCTCGCCCTCAGCCTGCTTCAGCCTCAACATCAGTCTGCCTTCAGCCTCGGCCTCAGCCTGCCTCAGCCTCACCCTGCATCAGCCTCAGCCTCAGCCTCAGCCTGCCTCAGCATCAGCCTGCCTCAGCCTCAGCCTCAGCCTGCCTCAGCCTCAGCCTCAGCCTGCTTCAGCCTCAGCCTCAGTCTGCCTTCAGCCTCGGCCTCAGCCTCAGCCTGCCTCAGCCTCAGCCTGCATCAGCCTCAGCCTCAGCCACAGCCTGCCTCAGCATCAGCCTGCCTCAGCCTCAGCCTCAGCCTGCCTCAGCCTCAGCCTCAGCCTGCTTCAGCCTCAGCCTCAGTCTGCCTTCAGCCTCGGCCTCAGCCTCAGCCTGCCTCAGCCTCAGCCTGCATCAGCCTCAGCCTCAGCCTCAGCCTGCCTCAGCATCAGCCTGCCTCAGCCTCAGCCTCAGCCTGCCTCAGCCTCAGCCTCAGCCTGCTTCAGCCTCAGCCTCAGTCTGCCTTCAGCCTCGGCCTCAGCCTCAGCCTGCCTCAGCCTCAGCCTGCATCAGCCTCAGCCTCAGCCTCAGCATAAGCCTGCCTCAGCCTCAGCCTCAGCCTGCCTCAGCCTCAGCCTCAGCCTGCTTCAGCCTCAGCCTCAGTCTGCCTTCAGCCTCGGCCTCAGCCTCAGCCTGCCTCAGCCTCAGCCTGCATCAGCCTCAGCCTCAGCCTCAGCCTGCCTCAGCATCAGCCTGCCTCAGCCTCAGCCTCAGCCTGCCTCAGCCTCAGCCTCAGCCTGCTTCAGCCTCAGCCTCAGTCTGCCTTCAGCCTCGGCCTCAGCCTCAGCCTGCCTCAGCCTCAGCCTGCATCAGCCTCAGCCTCAGCCTCAGCCTGCCTCAGCATCAGCCTGCCTCATCAGCCTCAGCCTCAGCCTGCCTCAGCCTCAGCCTGCTTCAGCCTCAGCCTCAGTCTGCCTTCAGCCTTGGCCTCAGCCTCAGCCTGCCTCAGCCTCAGCCTGCATCAGCCTCAGCCTCAGCCTCAGCCTGCCTCAGCATCAGCCTGCCTCAGCCTCAGCCTCAGCCTGCCTCAGCCTCAGCCTCAGCCTGCTTCAGCCTCAGCCTCAGTCTGCCTTCAGCCTCGGCCTCAGCCTCAGCCTGCCTCAGCCTCAGCCTGCATCAGCCTCAGCCTCAGCCTCAGCCTGCCTCAGCCTCAGCCTGCCTCAGCCTCAGCCTCAGCCTGCCTCAGCCTCAGCCTCAGCCTGCTTCAGCCTCAGCCTCAGTCTGCCTTCAGCCTCGTCCTCAGCTTCAGTCTGCCTTCAGCCTCAGCCTGCCTCAGCCTCAGCATCAGCCTGCCTCAGCATTCAAAGTGTGGCCCGGGAATGGAGTTCTGGGAACTCGAAGAACACGAAATGGCCTACAGTTGGCTCCGGGCATTCAAAATCATGCCCAGGAATGGAGTTCTGGGAACTCGAACACCACGAAGTGGCCTACAGTTGGCTCCGGGCATCCAAAATGTGGCCCGGGAATGGAGTTCTGGGAAGTCGAAGAGCACGAAGTGGCCTACAGTTGGCTCCGGGCATCCAAAATGTGGCCCGGGAATGGAGTTCTGGGAATCGAAGAGCACGAAGTGGCCTACAGTTGGCTCCGGGCATCCAAAATGTGGCCCGGGAATGGCGTTCTGGGAGGTCAAGGAGCACCAAGTGTATGACTGTTGCATCCGGTTATTCAGAATGTGGCCTGGGAATGGGGTTCTGAGAGGTCGACGAGCACGAAGTGTGTGACTGTTGGTGAAAAACGAGCCCGGCACACTGCCGGCCGGCAACTCCCAACGCCTGCCCGGACCCCCCTGTGGAGTGATCTGTGAGGTCTTTTGAGTCAACTAGAAACCTATCAGTCTACGCTGTTAGGTAATAATATGTATTCATGCACGCGATATATAAGCGCGAACAGGGATTCGCCGCGAAGCGCGCGCGGGGAGCGCGACCTGAGAACCTGCGACTAAGCTTCGGGCAGAAATGCGCCTGGTTGGGCTTTCGAGCCTTTCTAAGGACACCCCAGGGGTGGGTCGCGGGGTGGGACGCGGGTGGGTCGCGGGGTGGGTCGCGGGGTGGGTTACGGGACGGGTCGCGGGTGGGTCACGGGTGGGTCGGGGATGGGCCGCGGGTGGGTCGTGGGGTGTGTCGCGGGTGGGTGGCGGAATGTTCGCGGGTGGGTCGCGGGGTGGGTCGTGGGTTGGTGGGTCGCGGGGGGGGTCGCGGGTGGGTCGCGGGTTGGTTCGCGGGGAGTGGTGTGACGACGCCAAACAACAAACAACAAACAACAATAGTTATCAGCCCCGCGGAAGCCCGCTTCAGCCACGCACCCAGGGACATTGAACGACCGTTCGGCCCCTCACTCTGATAAGCGCATGCAGTTACTCCATACATACGAACAGAATTACGCAAACACATGCGAACACTAGAGCCTCAGAGAGCTATCCGGCGCCAAGTGACCGGGGCGCGCGGGGTGTGCTCTGGACTGAGCAGCGGCGATCGGACCGCCCGCCGAAGCCTGGCCTGACCGACCCCCTCATCCGTTCTCTCTCGTCTCTTCCCTCGCGTCCCTCCCCCCCCCCGCCTGCCGACACCGAGTGGCCGCGCCGATGGCTTCCCGAAGGCCGCCGAGGCCCTCCGAAAGTATTCAATCAAATAAGAAAAAACGCCATAAACATATATTTTTGGCGCTCCGCGCGGATTTCTTGGACCCGCGCCCGGCCCCTCTGGCGGCGCCTCCGGCGCCGCCCCTGGCGCGCCCTGCGCGCCAGGGAGAGGGGTCCAGCGCGGATTCAAGAATTCCGCGCGGAGCGCCAACAGTTTATTTTTACGGCGCTTCATTTTCTTCTAAGCACCGCCGACGGTGACGCCGACGGCGCCGAGAAGCGGCAGCGACGGCGACGACCGCGGCCCTCAAGCAATCCGCCGCGCAGCGGGGGCCGCGCGGCCCGCGGCGCGGCGCCGCGGAGTCGACTGGTGGGCGCTCCCCAGCGGGGCGTTGCGATCACCACCACCACCGCAACGGCGGCGATAGCGGCGGCGACAACAACGACGAGTAGGAGGAGGAGGACGACGACAACGATGACGTGGATGAGGAAGAGGAGAAGGAGGAGGACGACGACGACGAAGGCGGCGGCGACGACGACGATGACGAGGAGGTGGAGGAGGATGACGCCGACGACGACGACGGTGGCGACGACGATCACGATGACGAGGATCAGGTGAAGGGCGACGCGGACGACGACGACGATTTGGACGACAACGACGACGACGATGACGGGGATGACGCCGACGACGACGACAGCGGCGACGACGGCGGCGACGATGACAACAATGACGAGGCAGACGACTAGGGCGACAACGACGATGAGGACAACGACGACGACGCTGACGACGACGACTAGAACGACAGTGACGACGCCGAGGTCGACGACCGCGACGAGGAGGACGACGACGACCAAGGCGTCGGACTAGGACGACGATGACGAGGACGACAACGACGATCACGCCGACGACGAGGACGACGACGCCGACGACGAGGACGACGACGGTTAGGAAGACAACGACGACGACGACAAGGGTTGACGACGAGGACGATGATGACGAGGATGACGAACACGACGAAGACGATGACGACCACGACGTCGACTAAGACGACCATGATGACGACGATCAAGACGACGACGGCGACGACTAGGACGACGATGACGACGACAATGAGGGCGACGACGAAGACGACGAGGACGACGACGACAACGACAAAGAACCTGACGACTAGGACGACAACGGCGACTCCGACGACCACGACTACGTCGACGACTAGGACGACAACGACGACGACGAGGACGACGACCACGACGACCACGACGACGACTAGGACGACGACGACATGTACGACGACGACGAACATGGAACTGGCGACTAGGATGACAACGACGATGACGACGACACGACGACGACGACTAGAATGGCCAGGACGACGATGCCGATGACGACGACGATGACGACGATCAAGGCGACACCGTCGACGACTTGGACGACGATGACGACGACAATGAGGACGACGACGAAGACGACGAGGACGACGACGACAACGACAAAGAACCTGACGATTAGGACGACACTGGCGACTCCGACGACCACGACGCCGACGACTAGGACGGCTAGGACGGCTAGGACGACGACGACGATGAGGACGACGACGACGA